GATCTGCAATGACTCCTTCATGTATTGCCAAGTCACAACTTAATACCCCTGTGACGGACCGATTAAAACCCCATTGCCGTTTGTTCCAATTCAGCGCTAAAGAGTGGGTTTTCCCGGAGGAAAGTGGCCGGGCAAAGAAAAGTGTGGACGAGCTGTGATTTCAGTAAAGCCTCAAATCCCTTTGTGTGCAGAGGCCCTGTTAAAAGTTTAATTATAGCCCCTCTGTTACAATGCAGATGCTTCTTTTCATGTGTAGTAGCTGAACAAGCGAAAACATTAGAGGGGATAGAGACTGAAGGGTGAAATCTGCTGCTTCCTAAAAGCAGCGGCAGGCTCCTTCACCCCCCTTTCCTAATTGCATCGTTTAAATTGCATTCAAAGCCATCCTACACAGTAATTTTCAGAAGTGCTGCCTGTGGAAGGAAGGCAGGATGAAAGGCTGGGGTGACTCAGACAAAACGAGAGGCAACTTCCATTCCTTCAAGCATAATTCTCCTACTTTTCCCCTCCATTTAATGTGCCAGCTCAGTGGCAGTGTGAGTTATATTACACTGACACCGAGAAAGAAGCCCATCCGTCCAGAAAACAGTAAAGCAAGTTCCTTGCTGGGAGTAGACACTGGGGCTGCAATTACTGAGGACACTTACTAGGAAGGAAGCCCCACTGAACACACTCAGATTTTCTTTGGAGCAGGGATGGAAAACCCCTAGCCTGGGTACTTAATCTGCTACCCCCCATAACATACTGCTTTGGATGGCAACAAAAAGTGGAGGGAATAGAAAGCCTGCACTTGGTCAGACAGAATATTTTAAGTCTCTCCACTCAGGTCAGCACCCAGATGAAACATTTGCTCATCTGCAGCACAAAGAACCTGAAGAAAGGGGGCGCTGTGCACCTGTGTGTGTCCTGTGCTTGCATGTGCCATAATAATAATAATAATAATAATAATAATAATAATAATAATAATGATGATGATGTTATCTTTCCACTCTTGGCAGCTTCCAGCAAATTAAAATATCAAACACAGTAAAACATATTAAAAATCAAATAGTTGTTTATTTCCTTGACATCTGATGGGAGGGAGTTCCACAGGGTGGGCGCCACTACCAAGAAGGCCCTCTGCCTCATTCCCTGTAACCTCACTTCTTGCAGTGAGGGAACCACCAGAAGACTTTCTGAGAGCTGGACCTCAGTGTCCAGGCTGGAGACGCTCCTGCATGACAGTGTGTTGTAGCCGCACCCATCATTGGTCTGTGCCCTCTGGAGGCTTGGCCAAGACTGAAAGTGGCCTCAGGCCCAAAGGTTTAACCACCTCTGCTTTAGGGTAAGCACACATTATATTGTGCAATTGGTTTGTACACAAAGGGGAAGCCAGCCTGAAGAAAAAGGCAACAGAGTGCCCTTGGGTGTCACTTATTGGGTGTCACTTCTCTTAAGTGTAGGCCCTCTTTGTAGATAATTGTACCCCCCTCGAGACATAATGAATGTCCAGGGTGTCACACCCATCACTCATCAGAGCTGGAAACCCCTTTAGTCATTAGTCTTAAGAAGGTGTGGGAAAAAGCGAGGTCTGTGTCCACTGACGCCACCACCCACCATGGTCTTCGCTGACGGAACCAGACTATACAGCTCACGCACAGAAGGCATGCCTGCCAAGGGGAAGCCTGCCAAATGCACACCAGCTCTTCCAGTCTCCTGAAACCTGTGTTCTGCCACATGGGGAGTGCCTTTACCTGTTCAGCAGGGAGAAGAGCAGGGAAGAAGAGCCATTAGAGAAGGTGATGGGAAAGGGAATGAGGGCAGTAGCTCCATTCTCTCTCTCTCTCTCCTCTCCCTCCCTCCCTCTCTCTCCTCTCCCTCTCTCTCTCTGCATGGGCTTCATTGCACGGAGGCTAACGGAAGCTACAGCTTCTGCGTTTTGAGGTTTGTATGTGGCAGCATAAAATTCATCCACTTGATTACAGGTGATTGCTTACACTGTTCAGAAAGTCCCTGTGATCCTCTGTAGAGACTTTTCCTTTGGAACAAGGAGCTGGAAAGGAGAGCAGAAAGGAGAAAGGTCCATTGTGCCAGTCTCCTTCTCCTTGTGCGACATTGGCCTATTCAGTGCAACCTCTTGTTGTAGCTTGGAAGCTAAGGGCAATGAAGTTGCAGAATGTTAATGATGAATCAGTTATCAGTTGTAGACATCTTGCTTGTGGATAAGATCTGAAATTTTGATTTGTGTGTACCAGTCAAAACAGCATCTCTTGTATGCTTGCCAATACATGACCTTGTTTCTTGGGGCAAGGGGATTTATTCCTGTTGATACATTAGCACATTCTTGCTTGTTTTAAAGTCAAACTTTGAGCCTGAACTTCATTATTTAGTATCTAATTTTTGCAAGCCACCCTTTTAAAATAGTGATAGCAAGAAACGTGGCTGAAGCTAGCTCATGCTGGCAAATGCAGAGGATTCCAGAGTTATTTTGGGAATAGTTGCCAGAAACTGGTATGATGCAGACCTTGCGTCAATAACAAGTCTTGACATCATAGAGCCTTGTAAGAGAGAAGCTCAGCATCTTCACCACCTGAAGATCATTGGCTATGCAGACTGGGACTGATGGGGTTTTTGTCCAGCAACATCAGGTTGAGCACCAGGTTGTGGAAGGCTGTGCTAAGATGATGGAGGTTTGTTAAAACTCAGCTACATGACTTGGCTTTCAAGGCATTCATTGCAAAAACCATCCTTTGCATGCATCATGGTGCAGCTGTCTCATATATGGTTGTAGTCAATTAAGTCCTACTATGAGTAGACACATTGGAATTAATTAATCAAAGTTAGCCATGTCCATTAACCCCAATGGGTCTACTCTGAGTAGGACTAGGGATGAATACCACCCATGGTTTTCTGGATGTTAGAATAAAACCTTTGCAATCAAATTATGGATTTCAAAACAACAATGGCCAAGCTTTCCTGTCACAAAATCTGAAATTTCTGTCTAAATGTACAACATGGTTAGTTGAAACATAGGCATTTAAACATTTCACACTCAGTTTGCAGAGTGCTCTTTGCGCATGCTCTTTTGCATTTTCGTTTTAGAAATCGTTCAGCCCCATCAGGAAAACAGCACAAGCAAAAATGATGCAGTTTCACCTCGTAAGTCATGGGAGCAACAATGGGAAGAAGGAAAGATTGTGGTCAGTTCAGAGTGGAACATTCTGTGAGCTTAGCAGGAGGTCTTCACCTATGTCACATGTGACTAAATTTTCAGCCTGTTATCCCCTAATCTCTCATTTTGGTTTATCCCAGGGATGGGACTTCTAGACTTCTCTGTTTGATTCTTCTAGCCTCCCTGTTGTCACGACACTGGAGTCAGAGTTCTTCAGGAAATGAGCTGGAAGACTCTGAATCAGAAGGGCAATGGCATGCAGGGCTTCCACCCCAAGAACAATTTATTGGAGAAAGTTTGGCAGATGTGTGAATTGGCTGCAGTTCTTCCAAAGGTACATAAATTTAACACAGCCCTCCAGATGCATTTCAGTATCACCTGTTAAGCACTAACCTGCCTGCTTTTTTGTTGTCATGGGACATTAATGTTTGTATCCCCCCCACTGTGAAGATGCTGGAAGGAACTTCAAATGCTGCTTTCAGGTTTTAGCAGCTCTGAAGCTTTGTAATACATGGGCACCACCTGCTGGTCAAACAGTATGTTCCTTTGATTCAGGCTGTTCATTTCCTTTTATTTCCTGCCTTGCAAAAAGATTGTTCATGTTCAAATGCTGAGTGAGTCTGACTCAGCACAATGCATGCAAAGTATATGATATGAAGCATATCAAGTAGTAGGGGATGGCCTGATGAGGTGGCACCTTACCTCCAGTTGGTTGCATTGCTGCTGTGTACAGGGAAATAGAGGGGGAAGGAAGAGGTGGTGACGAAGTTGGTACAGTGCAAACCAGCTGGCAGGAGCACTGAATGGGCTCTGCCAGTACATTTGCACCACATCAGACTCACTACCATCTCGTTCCTCCCTCTCTTCCTCCCCATAAACAGTGGCGAACCAACTGACCAGAGGTCACCTAAGTGGTGAAGCTCCATCTGCTGCTGATATAAAGACGACCATGTTGCTCCTTGGTTCTGGCTGCCAGGAACCTGTGGGTTTTGTTGAAAATGTGGTGAGGCAGAACTGGGCTGCAAGCCCATCTTAATTTTCTTAAACCATGGGGGAAGCAGCCAGTGGTTTCCCCCCTTTTTATTCCCAGATGAGACCTGAAGTCTCATCACCTCAGAGGGACTTCGCTTGCAATCTCCATCTTGAAACCCATTCTGTCAGCAAGACCTTATGGCTATAACAACCAGCCTTATTTTATTACTCCCATTTCGTCACATGACTCTCTTCTTTGTGTAACATCTTGCCTAATGAAGAATTCTGGAGAATTTTTGTATTTGGGGAGTGGGATGGGTTTGTCCTAATAAAGGTATTGTCCAACTCCAGGCTTCTCTTCGCAACCTCAACTGACATCAGCTGTGATGGGTTCAGGGCACCAGTTAAAAGCATATTTATTTGCCTAGGCTGTTGGTTAAGTTGGATGTGGAATTGGGCAGCTTGTTGTCTTGTTCAATGACTGTAGATGATGATCTTCTCTTTATTGGTTTTATGTAACTGGTTTTATTGTTTATTATCTGCTTAATTTTTTATATTGTAGCCTGTTCTGGGATTAATGAAGAGCAGGCTATGAATTATTCAAGTGAAGAAACAACAGTTTCTTTTATGGCAGTAAATAAATGAAAAACATCTCACCAGATGGTGTGGGCAGCCCATTCCCAGTTCTGTTGTGATTACAGACAAATGCTATGAAATATAGCCATCTAATTCATACAGTACCTCCTTCATGCAGTTCCATATTCAAAGAGGACTCGGCAGAAAATGTGTGTGCAAACTCTTTGTCATATAGTTCAGTAGAAGAGTGCCAAAAACTACCTATCAAGAATAAATGCAATGACCAAACCAGATTGCTGCAATGCTATTGTTTTATTGATAAAAAAATCTGTAAAATAGTAATAACAAGCAGTTATTAACTCTGTGCATCTTCATCAGAGAAAGCCAGGAAGACCACTCCTAAATTCTTCAGCAAAAAAATTATGCATGTTCAACACTCTCAGCAAATTCCAGCCTTCTTAATTTTGACTTGTACATTCTTTTGCCTGCAAAAAAGGTATAAAACATACTGAATAGTATCTTTCATTTCCCAGGTCAAAGTTGAGATGTTGCCAAATCATGCCTTGTGAGAATCGGAGCATATGTATTTCAGATAGGCATTGCTAGACTAATGCATTTGTGCGATAATATGTTTTGACACCTGCTAGTGTTCAGGGCATGGACAACTTAAAAGAGATAGAATTTTACAATTTGGGCAGGATCTCACTTGCCAAGTCCTCATGAAAATTCACCATCATTTGCATGCAAGTTATGCATACGTCCCCCTCCCCACACACTTTGGAGCTAGAGAACTGCATTTCAAAATTCAGAGTACTGTGGCTTTCCACGGGAGAACTGTGTTTCCACTTGTGGTTTTTGAGAAATTCAAATAAGGTAGATTCACCTAAAATGTCAACAAAACCAACTTTCTCCCCCATCCTTATCCTTATTACTCACACATACAAATTCCTGTTGAAGTATAAATACTGAAAGTGACATCTGCACAGGCATACATGGAGCTACTGCCTGCATAGTCTCTGAAACAGTGAAAAGGCTCTTAAGGGAGACTTTCACTTTCTCTGTGTCAAATAAGGCCTGCCAACTGACCGGAAAAAATGAACTTGTTCCTTCAAGAGCAGCTATATGTTCAGAATTCACTAGATGAAATTCACATTCTTGAGAAAGAGGGAAGGGGAGACATTGATTTGTATCCTAAGGTGCCTTTCCATTCATGGAATGAGTCCTTCTGCAGATAGAAGGGATTTGGATTTCATTCCTGCTAATTCAGGGATGGAGAATACATGGCCCTCCAAATGTTATTGGACTCCATCTCCCATCAACCTCAGTCACCATGGCCAATGGCCAAGGGATGATGGGAAGTGTCATCCAATAACATCTGGAGAGCCACTCAATCCTTGTTCTAATAGAAAGAGGGAGACTGTTTTTGTTGATTCCCGCACCTTTGCAGTTCCTGAGTCACCTTCCATACTGCTTTGGAATCTCTCGCAACCACCCATGCAGGATGTGCAGCAAGGAGAAGGGAGTGCAAATTTTCAGAAAAGGTGAGATGTGGAACGTGAAAATTGGGTTTGTAAGGTGCCAGCACATACCCTTCTCTACTGGGCAGAACCCCAGCTTATGTCACTATGCTAAAGTTGTTTCCTTCCACAGAGAGCTGGCCCTTAACAAAGCACAGTTCCCAGGACTCTTTGAAGAGGCAAGTCCTCTGCTATAAATATGTGTTCGACCATGCATTAAATAGTATGGGGTGGATCTGCCTCGGATGTTGTATAATACTAGGAGAACCTAGCCCAGAGATGGAAGGAAGGAGATGTACCAACAAGAGAAGAATGGCAGACAAAACTGATGGAGTGTGCAGAGATGGTGAAACTGACGGGGAAGATCAGAAACCAGGAAGATCAATTATTTTTAAAAGACTGGAGTAAATTCTTAATTTATTAAAAAGACAGTTAAACAGTTACAATCATTGGCAGGGATGTAATGACACTTGTAATGTGGAATCAAATATGGTAACTATGGATATCTAACAGATGGATAAAGGAAAAGGATGCAGAAAACTTAAATTTTAAATATGGAACCCATAGAGGGAGGGAAGGCGCTCCGAAGGATCAAAAGAACCTTTTATTTTAATGTTTCAAATGGTTAAAGTTAAAATGTATAAAATCATGTAAAACCAATACAAAATGTTATATAAAAAAGTACTACAAGAACCTAAGTGAATTAGGCTGTATCTGCCATCAGGCTACATTGGCCAGATAGCCCACCTTTCAGCAGAACCCATTTAAAGAGGATAATCCAGCACCCCTCCATATACCAGAGCAAGTAGCAATTTAAAGTATTTGAATTACTTTATGACTGATATATATGTTGCTGCTCTGTTCTGGAGTGTGGGTGTGGGTAATCTTTATGATGTGAGCGTTGTACCTCTTAAGGAAAGCTTCTGTTCACAGGAGGGGTGACCACACAGATTGAAAGGAGGGATTTGAAGGTATCTCACTTACTATTTCTTTCCCTGTGGGACCTACTGGCACTCCTATCTACTTAAGAGGCTTGAAAGATGGCCAAAGGCCTAAAGAAAACAGGTTCCCTTGAAGAAACTAAGGGGTAAAGGAAAAACAGATACTTACTGATTTGTACTGCACAAGGTACACTCATTGGGATAGGTCACTTGGTCAGTGCCACAGACGGGATCAAAAATTTTAGGGCAACCTGGTGTTTCATAACCTTCACAGGCCGGCTGTAGAATAAAAGCTGTACAGTTCAGTATCTGGAACAGCAACAATCTTTTAAATTTATATTCCTCAAAGTTGGTGCAAGACATTTTGCTTACTTGAGACACAGTGACAAAGGGTGCCAAGTTAAGCCATAGTACCCATGAACAGTACCTGAGGCAAGAAAATCCTCACAACCACCTTCTCCCTTTCTCGCAGTAAAAATCCAAGAACAATACATTTGCTCCCCTTTCATGACACCCAAAATCAACTGCCCGAGGCAGTTGCCTCACGCTGCCTAATGGTAGAGCCGGCCCTAGTATTCTTTAATAGAGGATGATATTGAAGAACGAAGATACTGGAGAATGAAGGTTAAGTTGAGGAAGCAGAGTGAAGAATGGCATAGAAATTTAGACACTGGCGTGATAGCTACTGAAGCATTGTATGCTATGGCATTTGTTTCCCAGTAAAAGCTGCTGCCCTTTGCAGTTATCAATCCTAGTTTGTTTGGCAAGAGTTTCTTTACTGCAGCCTTCCTCAACCTGTTACCGTCAAGATAATGTTGGACCTCAACTCTCATCAGCCCCAGCCAACATGCTTAGTAAAATATCTGTGTAGCTATTTTATAGCAGCAGTGGGGAATATTTTTCCACTCATAGGACCATATTCATTAATGGGGGGTGCATGCTAGGGTTGCGTAGGGCCAGAGGTAAAAGTGAGCAGGGCAATGGATGAGACTCTTGCATCTGTGCAGTTGAATAATTCCCAAATATGATAAGGGTTCCTGGGCATATTCTGGGGATGGGCCTAGAGTGAGTCCTGGGGGCCAGATATAAAGGCCTGGGGGCCACATCCAACCCCAGGTCTTAGGTTCCCCACTCCTGGTTTATTGGTAAGGAAATACACAGAGAAACGTAGCTAGGTGATTTCAGTGCACTCCTCTCGAAGGCAACAACAGAAGGTTTGGGTTGCCTGAATTTCAGCTCAGTACCCAGGGCAGCCATTTTGTGCTGGCATCCATGACTCTTTTATCAATGTATGTGTACCAGCACCTCATTTTCTACCCAAAAAAGGGGGAAGCCCTGTCAGTACCTGTGTCAGTAGTTGACACATTGTATTGTTCTGACTTCTTCAATAGTGCATTTGCCATATATTGGTGGGGTAAAATTTCACCAAAGCAGGATGCACTGCACTTAAATAATCAAGACAACATTACCTCTCTTGCCTCACCGTTGCCACCATCAGTTTCTGCGTTGCCTAACAATGTGAGAAAAAACATTATTGATTAGAAATCCACTCTACTTCTAGCAGAGCCTGTAACCTCGGTTGGTTGTGTTAAAGCTGCATCAAATCAGTCTAATTTTTTTAAACAACAACAACATTTAAACATTTAACAAAAATACATTCATTTGACAAGAGTACATATTTCAATCTAGGGGAACGTGACCTGTTCGGTCACACTGGGTGTGGAGCTTTTGGGGGCGCTGCAGCAGATGCCATGATATGAAGTCCAATGCAAAGCGAGAGGCAAGGGGGCAGATTTTGGCTTCACACAGGATGCCACTGAAATTTGAGATGTCAAGGTCTGCTGCTGCATATTTATATCTTAAAAATAGAATAATATATAAATCTTGGATTTTTAAAAAAGAACATTTAATTTTGACTACTATATACATTTTGGTGAAGCAATTTCCTGTGATATACAGTGGTACCTCGGGTTAAGTACTTAATTCGTTCCGGAGGTCTGTACTTAACCTGAAACTGTTCTTAACCTGAAGCACCACTTTCGCTAATGGGGCCTCCCACTGCCGCCGCGCCGCCAGAGCACGATTTCTGTTCTCATCCTGAAGCAAAGTTCTTAACCTGAAGCACTATTTCTGGGTTAGCGGAGTCTGTAACCTGAAGCGTATGTAACCTGAAGTGTATGTAACCTGAAGCGTATGTAACCCGAGGTACCACTGTAATGCATTTTTGTATGTTATTTTCACTAATGTGCTTCCTTTAATGGAAACTACCATAGTGTATGAATTATACACACACCTGGCTGGAGAACTGCAATACAAAATCTGGAGAAGATCTAAATATGTAGATCTGGTTCCTTTTTAGTTCTCATCAAAGTCACTCAAATACCTTTCCTCTCTGTTCTATTTTCCCTCAGCCTCAAAATGAGACTCTATCCCATCATAGAGGTGCATGTTTTCCTATACTCTCCTTTGTCAGGAGTGTATAGGAAATCGACTGAACAATTATACTGGGAAATTTTAGCATCTGCAAGGAAAAAGACGTGAATTCTATGTAGCCCTTACCTGAGGAACAGAAGATCCCCACTGCAAGGAGAAGGAATATGCTAGTTACTCTCATTGTAGAGCTGCTTATTGACATTAAAAGAACAATCCTTTTGAAGAAGCTATGTCTCAAGATTCCAGAAGAAACTTTTTTATATGACCTGTTTCTGGCACCTCAGACTCCCCCTCTTCCTTGACGTCATTGTCCAAACAAGCGTGTGCTATGGGAAAGGTATTTTTGAAGGGAAAGAGGGAGGTGAAGTAACAGCCAACACAGTGCAAACCACATGAGATAATTTGTCCGGGTGGGTTCAAAGATCTGTGTTGTCACAGAACTAGATGCTAGAAATCATGAATGCCAGGACACTTTAAGGAGCATATTCATATACAAACTGCCACTTTTGAATGCCACAATAAGTAATTCAGACTATTATCTGTTGACTCTGCTTCATATCTCTAGCCTTGCCATAAACATATGCTGTAAGATTGAAAGGAACTATATTTTACTGCTCTATTTTATTGTCAACAGTTTATATGGCAGCTTTCTATTGACTCACCCAAGGCCACATTAAAACAGAAACAAATGACTAACAGCATTGGCAAGATTAAATATTAAAAGTTCTGATAACTGTGACAAGCCAAGGTGTTCTTTGACATGTTTACTGTATTTCCGTAGGCAGAGAGAATGCTCTTCTCAGGGCCAGTACCACCATGAGACAACCTGCTCAGGTGGCAGGTGCAAAAGGCCCAAGGAGCGAGCAGAGCTGTGTGTGACATTTGGCCTTCTCTTTGGCCCCTAATTTAGCCTACTGCCCTCAGATGCAGTGGGAGGTTCTGTCCCATTACCAGTGTTGAAGAAAGTGTTTCTCAAACCTGGGTCCTCAGCTGTTCTTGGACTACAACTCCCATCACCCCTAGCTAGCAGGACCAGGGGTTAGGGATGATGGGAGTTGTAGTGCATGAACAGCTAGGAATCCAAGTTTGAGAAACACTGATAGTGCTTTAAATGTATTGTGATGGTGGGGCCTATCATACTACTTTACACAGTCACAGCTTCCCCCAAAGAATCCTGGGAACTGTAGTTTGTTAAGCATGCTGCGAGTTGTTAGGAAACACCTATTCCTCCCAGGGAGCTACAATTCCCAAAGTGGTTTAGCAGTCAATTCCTCTTCCCTGGGAAGTCTGTGAGGGGAATAGGGGTCTCCTAACAACTTCCACACCCTTCCTTCACTTCCCAGGATTCCTTGAGGGAAGCCATGACTATTTAAAGTAGACATAATAGTGGTTTAAATGTATGGTGCACATGAGATCTCAGTTTCAGCTACCAGCCTGGTGGACTTTGGAACATGGAAGGGTGGGGTGCTGGGAAAGTGCCATTTTGTCCTTTGCCTCAGGCAGCAAAAGATCTTGGGCTGTCTCTTTTCAAAGCACAGAGGAGTGTCTGGCCTGCAAAGGAAACATAGGGTGTCATTGATCTTTTGTTGCACTGTGTGAAGCAGCCTTTGTTATCATGTGGCATTCTTCCTTGATGGAGGCAGCTTGGGATGCCACGAGAGAGCCAAGAGGAAAGCATAGACCAAGAGGAAAATATTTTGCATTTTCCAAAGTATGACTTGAGCATACAAATGGAGAACACGTCCAAGGCTGCTAATGACAGGAATGATTTAATATGGTTGAACAAGTATGAGAATAGCCAAGAAACATAGCAAGCCAGCAAATGAAAAAGAATTGAGAAACAGAAGAAGAAACAGAAGGGTTGCAAGCCAACTGCTTTGCCAAGGCCAAATGATGCAGTCCAGATAAGAAGGAGGGTCTTTGTGCACCACTGGAAGACGCCCCAAAGAAAGGGGCAAACACACTTCCATAGGCAAGATTTCCAAAGCTAAGCGGAAGAGAGAGAAAGACATCTCCCATTTTTCCAAAAAAAAAAAGGTGGGGTTGGGACCATTAAATGGGCCTCTGTGAATGGTAATGACAGGAAGGCCTATATGGGAAGAACAGTCCTTCAGATATCCTTGTCATCACTGGCACTTTGAATTGGGCCCAGAAACATGTAGGGAGGAGATGTGGTTGTTGCAGCAGTGGAAATGGCACACTCCTGATATGAGCTCCATCTGAAGTGCCAGAACACTTTTCAAATACAGGACAATTGTAGTGAAGTAGTAGTTTCAATAAATAAACAAATCTATTGCTTTTTATAGGAAAAAGTATCAAAGCAGCTTATAACAAGTTAAGAATGCAAAGATATGGTAGAATAACCAAATAGTGGCTTAGGCATCTATCACCAGGGCTAGATCTACCTTCCCCAGAAACAGGCATAACTAGACCTAGACTAAGCTAGGCAAAGACACTTTTCGCCATGGCTATCATCCAGGGTTAAAGTTGGGTCTAGGACCCTAGACCAGGGGTCAGCAACCTTTTTCAGCCATGGGCTGGTCCACTGTCCCTCAGACCATGTGGTGGGCCAGACTATATTTTGAAAAGAAATATGAACGAATTCCTATGCGCCACAAATAACCCAGAGATGCATTTTAAATAAAAGGACACATTCTACTCATGTAAAAACATGCTGATTCCTGGACCGTCTGTGTGCCAGATTTAGAAGGCAATTGGGCTGCATCTGGCCTGCGGGCCTTAGGTTGCCTACCCCTGCCCTAGAGTATGAACCTGTGTTTTCAAAGGGGTTGCTGAGCCACCCAGCACAGGCTAAACCACCTGTTTATAGACTGTGTATCCTCTGGAATAAGTTTCAGTTGATTAGCCCTCCTCCAGCTCCTTATTGATTCCATATCCTGGCTCAGAATGCCCACAGCTTCTCTGAACTAGATGGGAAAGAAATATAGACTTGGGTGTCATTCACCTATCAGTCATGGGGGAGAAAATGGATCAAGTGAACCTCTGAATTCACACTTTCAGAAACAAGCTTGTTTTCTCCTGCTCTAGAGGGTAGGACTCAAACCAATGGAACTGCACAGATCGATGCAGCAAGTGGTAGACCCTGGCACCAGGTTCTGGAATTGCCCCTCCAAGAAACACTGGAAGCAGCATTAAACAGTGACTCCAAGTCCCATCCTACACAGGCAATGCAGACTCCTCCTTTCCAGTTTCTAGAGTAGGTCATTAGCTAGGGTTACCCAACCTATCCTTGTCATCAAGGATGAAGCCAGGCTGAAATGAATCCAGATAAGCTGAGAGGCTGCAACCATCAAGAGGTAGCCAGAACCAGGGCCTCTACAAAATAGGGGCTTATGAAGTGTAATCTAGAGTGTGTCATGGTATAGAAAGGACAGGCTAAAATTATTCACAAAGAGCAGGGGCAAATAGATCAAAAGCACACTGGGCCATATAGAATTGTCAAAGGCATTTCACTGATTTTACAATATTCAATCTTGAACTAGTTGCTATAAGACACAAATCATGCATAGACATTTGTAACGAATGCTTAACCACATAAGAACATAAGCAGAACCACATAAGAACATAAGCAGATGGGGCAAGGGCTCCTCATAGTCTGGTATCTGCTCTCACTATGGCCAACAAAATGCCTATGGGGCACCCACAAGCAAGACAAGACCTGAGTCCAGCAGCCCTTGCAGAGGTATTTGGCTTTGTCAACACGGCAGAGATACCACCTGCACATTTCACAGGGCAAAATTTGGAACAGGTAAGATGTAGGCAGAAGGTGGGCAGCCTATAATCCCGGTATAACTCAATTAGTTTATTAAAGTTGGCAAGAGATAAATGTGTTGGTTTGCAGCAGCCACCTAATAATCAAACACCCTATACAAATATTTGCCACCAGGTGTCATGTTATCAGCAGCTTAGCATCTAGAAAGGCTTCGTTCCCTTCCCTTTTTATTTACTATGCACCTGTGAAGTCCCTGTGAGTCCAATATAGGTGCAAGACTTGACAATAACACTTTGTTCTTCCTTTGAGTCTCGCCTTTCCGCATTCCCACCTGTCTTGTAGCTCTACCAGCATTTTAATCAATTTGGTCTAACTACATGGAAAAAGATATGGCAGGCATTTGTCTAGGGAATATTACAACACTTTCATTGTTGCTGTTTTTTAAAAAACCTTTTAGGTGTGCACACAAGGCAGCCAGGTCAGGGAATTAGGATTGCCAATTAGGATAAATGTCAGATTGTAGGATCAGGTCCTGGCGTCTCCAGTTAAAAGGGTCTTAGGATACAGGGGTGGGACAGATCTAAGGCTTTGAAAGATGCTGTCGCTCACAGTGTAAATATTCCTATGCTAGATGGACTAGTGGCTTGACTATAAGGTATAAAACATTATAAGATAGATAACTTGCTGTTGAAATGGAACACTCAGGATGAGACGGTCAAATCTGCAATGATTAAATGGGCACAAGATGTTGGACATAACATTATGTTTGCGGACTGGGAACAGTTGTGGACCACCAGTATGAAATTTACGGCATGTAATGCCTTAAGAGAAAATGTTATGAAAATGATATATAGGTGGGACATGACCCCAGTCAAGCTTGCAAAAATTTATCATTTGCCCGATAATAAATGTTGGAAATGCAAAGAAAATGAAGGTACATTCTTTCACCTTTGGTGGACGTGCCCTAGGATTAAGGCTTTCTGGGAAATGATCTATAATGAATTGAAAAAGGTATTTAAATATACCTTTCTGAAGAAACCAGAGGCCTTTCTCCTGGGCATGGTCGGCCAATTGGTGTCAAAGAAGGATAGAACTTTCTTTATGTATGCTACAACAGCAGCAAGAATACTCATTGCAAAGTATTGGAAGACGCAAGATCTACCCACTCTGGAAGAATGGCAGATGAAGATGATTGACTGTATGGGATTGGCAGAAATGACTGGCAGAATCCGTGACCAGGGAGAAGAGTCGGCGGAAGAAGATTGGAAGAAATTCAAGGATTACTTACAGAAATATTGTAAAATTAATGAATGTTGAATGATGTCGGATAGAAATTAAGAGGTTTTTAGCTGCAATGTTGTGAGTGATATGGGGGGGGGAAAGGGTAAAGAAATAGGTTAAAAATTACTGATAAGGATTTGCTGAACTAACAACTTGAATTGGAATACAAGAAGGGGAGGTATGAGGAGGTCAGTGAAATATGTTATTGAAAAATAAGCATTGCGAACTTTATGTGTTTTTAAACTTTTTTGCTTTTTTCTTTTTGATTCTTTTGATTGTATTAAATTGGAAAATTTTAACAAATATCTTTTAAAAAAACACATTATAAGATAGGTTTGTATGAAAGAATAAAGTGAGGATAGTAGAACACACTTATTCTGAAAATTATCGAACATTAAGTTTCATATTCAAAAAGCCTTGCTTGACAGTAATCCTATTGCTATTATTAATAATGAATATTTTCTTTTTAAAAGTTGGAAACTCCACTTTTGACTAGTTCTGAAACCTTATTTGGCTAACAGTATATCTGTGCTGTCTCATCCATGCAACAGGATCATGTTGGTTGGCTAATCAGTTAATTAGCTTTCCTACAGCCCTTTGATTTCTCTCTCATGAATCCCTAGAGAAGTGGAGATCAAAGCGTTAACAACAGGTGCTTGGGAAGACAAGACAGTTATTCTTAATTAGCTGAGCACAGAGCCATAATTGCTAAATTCAATTAGTGAAAGTGTTTGCAGAAAGGGGGTGTGCTCTGAAGCACAAAAGAGTGACTTAATTCTGCACTGAATTGTCACAGGGTTCAGCTTTCAGTGCTAAAATAATTGCTGTTCAGTGTTCACAGTTGCTGCTTCAATTCAATTCATTAAAAAAAAAAAGTTTCCTTCCTCCTGGAACTAGTGAGGTCATCACCATGTCACCAGTTTGGTTTGGCTGGGTAATGTCGTCACTGAATACAAATGAATGAGGTAATTGCCCACAAGATCAGATTGCTGTCATCACCTGGTCCAAACATGATTGGTTGACAGCCTTTAGCAGTCAGCAGAGTAGGCGGAGCTGCATTACTATCCGAGCTTCCCAATGCCACATCTTGTTCCAAGTGACCGAGAGGTGGAGGAGCAAGGTGGTGGGGAGCTTGGTGTGGTGGGTTCAGCATCAGATACCACGGTGCCCAAATGGCACCGTGGTTTAAACCACTGAGCCTCTTGGGCTTGCTGATCAGAAGGTCAGCGGTTCAAATCCCCGCAATGGGGTGAGCTCCCATTGGCTCAGTCCCAGCACCTGCCAACCTAGCAGTTTGAAAGCATGCCAGTGCAAGTAGATGAATAGGTACCACTGCGGTGGGAAGGTAAAAGGTGTTTCCGTGGGCTCTGGTTTCTGTCACGGTGTTCCGTTGCACCAGTAGAGGTTTAGTCATGCTGGCCACATGACCCGGAAAACTGTCTGTGAACAAACGCTAGCTCCCTCGGCCTGAAAGTGAGATGAGCGCCGCAACCCCATAGTTGCCTTTGACTGGACTTAACTGTCCAGGGGTCCCTTATCTTTACCTTGCTTGTAGGATGGAGGAGGCTGTTTTAAAAATAAACAAATAGATGCCACCAAAGCAGGAGGTAATTGTGCTGCAAACAGCTTTTAGAAAGGGCAGAGTTCCAAAGAAAGTGTGGTCATGGGGGGAGGAGAGAGCATACTGAACCTGGAAGGATGGTGGTGCATGGCAGTACCTGGGGGGGGGGCATGAATAAAACAAGGCAATATATTTCACCGGGCGTGTCTTTGTGCCCCACTTTTGCAGCCAAGAAGCCTATATTAAATAGGAGGTAGTGTGTCCAGCCTTAAGCACACAGTCATTTAAATGAATGACTATTTATGCATTTACATTGAGTGTTTACCAGCCAAATGCGATTACATGCCAATTTAGGAATGGAAGCATCATGTATTTACTGTACAGCACTTAACAGCCGGTGCAAAGTAATTGCTCTGAGTGAGGATTGATTTCAGAGAGGCCTCCTGGGATGCTGCTTGCTTGAAATAAAATAAAGCGTACCGAGTCAGAGAAAGAATGTGGGATTGTTCAGTACTCCAGCCTGCCTTTTTGTGTTATGGTATGAAAATAAGTTCAAAGAGTATCTTATAGGAAGGGAAAACAAGAGCAATGGTGCAGTGATCTATTCTTCACTAATTGATCTCATGTGACCTGGCTGCTTAAACGTTTGCTAAATCTTGGTCGCAACAGAGATGGGGGAAGAGCTTCAGTAGCCAACTGTGACCTGTTTTCAGACACTTTGCTACTAAAATAATTAGTTTTTCTCCTGACTTGGACCCTTTCAGCATAGGTTCTTTGGATATGCCCTTGGGAACAGTTCCCCCTGTTTCGATGGGTGCATTTCAGTTTGTGCATCTGAAGGAATACTCCCCACTTTATGTCATTTTAAGTGCACACCGTAGACACTTGACAACTGAAGCTTTACATAGCATTTTCAACATCACAAATAAGCTGCAGAGACTGGATTAGAAGGAACAAGATTTTCTTAGCACTGTGCTGCTAGTAGCCTATATATAAAACTGGAACTAGTCAGAGTTTCTTCATTTCATTTCCCTGCTGGTGTCACTCAGAATTGTGTGAGGTGTATTGGTTGTTAGGGAAGTGATAGTACTTCTGGTGTTCCTTCTGGGGTAGTTCATCCACCTTTGGTCCCTACCCTGCACCTGTGGCTCCTAGAAGCTATCAGCATGTGACAGTGGCCACATGGGAATAGCTTTGACTGGCCAGCTAAACCAGGTGAGGTAGCCAATGGGTCTCAAACCCTCAGTGAGACAGGGACTTCCTCTGCATGCAAAGACAGACTCCGGTGGGTTAAGCAGATGAAACCAATATTGGTTCAATAGTCAAGAAGATGGTTTCTGCAAGGGCTATAGAGGGATATGAGGGGTTTGCCAACCTGGGAAGGTAGCCCATGTAGGAGAAGGAAAATTCTGATCCTAAACTCCTTGCAGGACATCTTTGGGAGAAGAAAAGGCTAGGAAGTGGAGTCCCAAAATCAGTTGGGTGACACCACCTTCTGACAACTGCTGCAGCCAATCTGGTGCCAAACATATCACTCTCCTTTCCTTTGGACCATATCAGCAAGGCCAAGAGTGGGGCCTTGTTATTTGGGCAGCACAGGACCTCCATGCACACTGCCCAGTCTTTTCCTCCAGGGAGGTCACATCAGTGCTGCTAACACAGCAGCTTGACTTCACCCACCCACCCCACCGAGGCAGACTCCACTGTTTCTCAAGACAGACAGAGGCCAACAATAATCAGATCTTCCCTATTGGTGTCACCCAGAACTAATTCTCCCCATGCATTTAAATCGCTTTAGTTCCTGCTCACATCACATTTTACTGTTGGCATGTGATTATGCCAAGAAAGGGCTTGTGCAAGCAGGACAGCAGGAAATAATGGTGCACACTAGCTTCTCCTGTAAACAGGAGGTGGGTTTAACCTCATTACTTAAGCCTTCAGATGTATGCAAATGCCTTATACCAGGGGACACCAACCTGACTCCTAAAGGCACCAGTGCTTGCCAGTACTCCCTATATCATCTCAGTAAATATATGCTAAGAAATCCACAATGCATGAGAGACTACATTGAACTCACACACCCCTTAAGCATGCCCATATTTCATCAGATGCCAGGACTGGACATCTATCCTCCCTTTTGTTCTGAGCAGAAGCAAGGTGCAAAAAGGTGCAATGAACTTATCTTTATGAATGA